GACAGTGGGTGTGGGTGTTACTGGATGTGTGGGCAGCAGAGGCATCTATCACAAATTGCTATTAACACCTGGGCTCACAAGCATACACGCACACACACACACACACACACACACACACACACCCCAAAGTCCTCTACAGTTAAGTAACATTGAGGTTGTAATGCAATCTAACAAACCTAAACCAGGCAGGGGTGGGTCTGGGTGCCCACCTGGGCTGGCCAACGTCCCCTCTCACAGGCTTTGCCATCGGAAGGGACAGTGGAACGCGGAACTCAGGACCCGCCCAGGAATTAGCTCCAGGCGGCGTGGTTTCCATTCTCTCCACCTCTGACTTCCGGCCACCCTTTGGGGAGCCCTGGAAGGATGAATCCAAAACAACTGATAAAGGGCTAAGAGGAAGAAAGAAAGGGCTTCTGCAGAGCCCACAACTCAGCCCTGTGCTTGATGCTGTACAGCTTCTGAGTCGTGTCATCTTTTCAACAAAAGTTCAAAATCCAACACCGGGGTCAGGTGTGGAGGCACACGCACCTGTATTCCTAGAACTCAGGAGGCTGAGGAAAGAGGATCGCCCCAAGTTTGAATCCAGTCTGGGCTACATAGTGAGTTCAAAGCCAGCTGGAAATAGTGAGACCCTGTCTCAAAAAGATCCTGTCTCAAAGAGATCCTTTCTCCAGGTCATATGAGCAGTAAGCAAGAGAGAAGGGTTTAAAAGTCTCCGGTTCCAAAGCTTCCCTTTGCGTTCTACCAGCGCGCCCCCTGCAGGTGGCACAGAGAATCGGCGAGAATGGCTGCTTTTCTCTCCAGCGAGGCCAGGGCTGTTGAAGCAGGAAGCAATAGCGTTGGAGTCTTTCCATTGACTTGTAGACGCGTCTCCTCCTTCCGCATGTAAGAATCCGCATGGACCCCCAACTCCCCAGGCCAAGAGGACCAGGCTTCATGCAGGCCGAGAACAATGCTCCCCAAATCACCTTCCAGGCCTTTCCCGCCTCCCACCCCGCAGACGAAGTGAAGTTTCTGCTCAGCCTTGGCTTACTTGGGGGGTACTGTTAACTTTCAGGGTGGGGATTATAAAAGAGAGGAGCAAACGTTCACATTGGAAAAACCCACGCCCCTCTCTTCCACTGGAGAAGTTGCTGAGGAGTTCTGGCTCGGGACCTGTCCTCCTCCTTCCCTGGAGGACTTGTGGTTGACATAAGGAAGGGTGAGCATTTCCCTGCAAGAACTCATAAGCTAGTGAAGAAAACCACAAGGCTGGTCCTCAAAACATTAAAAACAAAATCACCATATGATTCAACAATTCTTCTGGGTATATAAAAAAAATGAAAGTGGAGCCCCAAAGAGATATCTGTACACCCACGCTAAAAGGAGCATTAGTCACAGTAGCCAAAAGGTGGAAGCAACCCAAGTCCATTAACAGATGAATAGTTAAACACAATGTGGTATATACTTATAAGGGAATATTATTAGGCCCTGAAAAAGAAAATCAGACCAAGCTATAAGATGGATGAACCTACAGGACATTATTCTGAGTTACATGCACCAGTAACAAAAAGACAAGTGGTTCATGATTCCATCTATTTAAGGTATCTAGAGTAATCAAATGCATAGAGACAGAAACCTATGCCACTGAGCCGGATACTTTATGATGGTTAAGATGGTAAATGTTATGTGTATTCTACCACAATTAAAGGTTTTTGAAAAATGTGCAAGACAGGAGAAGAGCTTCCCCAAGCATGCTGCAGAATTCAGGGCTACACTCTGAGAAGCTTGATGGAAAACAGGCCTACTCAGGCCCACCTACCTCTGTATACCACTTCTGTATATGACGTAGGTTTCCTGCTTGAATATGGTGGCAGAGTGAGGAGGTCCCTAAGAGGGACAGGATCAGTGAGCATCTGAGAGTAAGTCTGGTCTTAAGTTGAACCAGCTGAACTTCCTTCTAACTTTCTGCCTTTTCATCTTCTCTCCTGTCTGAACAACCCTCTCTACCCATCCCTGATGTACAAATCCTTCCATTTCATCTCTTTCTGTGGGCCCTTTGTTCTTTATCTCCCTTCCCCTGGGTGGTTTTCTCACCACCCAGAATTGTTTATGGCTATTGCGACCCTACAAACACCACTGTAAGTCTTGAGCGGATTATGTTGACCATTATTCTACACCATTATCCTAACCAATGCTTAATCCTGAGCCCTGGGCCTATGATTCTAATAGTAGCCACCAGGTGGCAGATTTTGGAAAACCAAACTTGTATCAACGATGGCAAGTACCGCCCCTGGTGGCCACAGAGAGAGCTGCAGGCACACCTTGCGCCCCGCTATTGACCAGGTCTTGAGGGACGCAGCTGTAGTGAAAACCCAGCGTCTTTGAATGTCTGCAAGCACGGCGGCCCCAGAGACGCCCCCCAGCTCCCTCTGCTGTCACTCTCCAGTACCTGTGGCTCCCAGAAGAGCCAGGGCTGCACAGCGCTGGATGCAATCTGTCTCCAGGCGCAGGCTTCAGTTCTTCCTGGCTGGGGATAGTTGGCCATTCCCATGGCCTCGATTAGGAGGTGGTTCCAGCTCATTCTGTACCCTCTTTTCCAGATTCGGTTTATAAATTGTTCCCCACATGGAAAACGTGGTAGCTTTGCTCCTGGAGACCTCCTGGATGCCACTTCCTTCCATATCTGCACCTCCTCCGGCTGCCTCAGGGGGCGCTGGATCTCACGCTGCAATGGCATCGCGTTATCCCGGCCCCTTTGTAGATCCTTCTCGCACAATCCATAGTGCTCTCCCAATTCATAAGCAGCTAGCGGGGAAATGGGGGCCGCTAGAAGTTCCTGGGGATTCCCTAAGCAAGGCACGCCAAGCTCACCTGGCTGTCCTGCTGCCGGGACACCTTAGCATAATGTGCTTTGATTTCCGCTAAGAATTGTGTGAAGTTTCTCGCACTCAGCTTTGCGAGCAATGTGGAGAGCTGGGGCAAGATGAGATTAAACATGCAGATCCACAGCTGGCTAATGAACCCCGCGGAAAGCACGGAACACGGAGCCACTGACGGGAAAGGTCTCAGGAGAGGGGAGTGGGGTGCAGGGCCCGACCCCGTCCCTGCTCTGCTTTTCACTGCCCTGACTGAAGCCTGTAGCAGCAGCCTTTCTGCATTTCTAGGCATCGGCAGAAGCACTTGGGTGACACAATCCCGCTTGGAAAAGGGGTCAATGGGCAACAACAACAACAAAAATACAGCGGACCCTCGAGTAACGACCGGCCTGACATACAAACAACTTGGATTAATTAGGTTAAAGGAAGATTCATCTGCCTCTGCTTATCTGTAGCGTGTACCCACAGGTAAACGTCCAGATCTCAGCTGTATTGACTTACAATCACCTCGTGTTACAACCAGCCCCAGGAAATGATCAGTTTGTAAGTGAAAGGTCCACTGTAGGCTGAACATAGTAAGGTGAAACTTAACAGGCAAAATGTGCAAAGCTGCTCATTTAGGTTCAAACCCCAACTCTGAGCGTAGGGTGGGGGACACTCGAGTTGACAACGGGTTCTTGGTTCCAATCCCTAAGCTTCAGTAACCCGGAAACTGGTTCCGAGCCAAAGCTGTGGGTCTCTCACCGCGAGCTTACACTGCACGGAGGCAGGAGGGGCGACGAGGGTGGTGACAGCACACTGTCCTCATCCCATCAGCCCCCTCTGGGGTAGCCGCTGCCTGTCATGTAACTCTGAGGAATCTTTGATGCATAACCTGTGTGCTTGGAGAGGCACGAGACATCACTCGGGTTCGAAATCTTTCTGTGCCACCTCCTGTGTGACCCCGGGCAAATTATTTAACATCTCTGGACCTCCTTCCTTACCTGCCGAAAAGAGGAAAACCACTGCCTCCTTCAATGACACTGTTGTAAGGATTAAACTAACCGGCATAGGTACAAGCCTGGGTCAGGTTTCCCATCAGGAGACTCCTCAGACACCACACCCACAATACTCCAGCCTCTCCTCCTCCCCAGCTCACATCTGTCCCCCTTGAGGATCAGGGCATGTGCCAGGGACAGCAGCCAGCAGGAGGCTGGGGGCTCCGGGGACCTGGCTTCCGGCCCTGGCTGCTGCAGAGCTGGACCATCCCCGTGCTGACCCTGAACCTCGCAGAAGACTCCCAAGACGACTTCTGCCACCCATGACTCTATGATCCTCTGGCTTTCTTTCTCTTTCTTTTTGAGACAGGGTCTCCCCATGTAGTGCAGGCTGGTCTTGAACTCACAGCAATTCTTCTGCCTCAGCCTCCTGAGTGCTGGAATTACAGGCATTGTCACCATGCCTGGCTTGAAATTTTTTTTTTTTTTTGGTACCGGGATCGAACTCGGGTCCTTGCACTTGTGCAGCAGGCAGCAAAACCACTGAGCTAAATCCTCCGCCCCCCAGCTTTAAAATTTTAAATAAAGATGAGACCAATATCACCAATTTTTCTTGTTGCCTCATGGCATGAAACAGCACTGTGGCTGACCCTGTCTTTATTTAAAATTTTGAAATTTTATCATCCATTTTAATTGTGGGTGTTAAAAACAGATTGCATTAAACTGTCACTGGACCGCTGAGGCTTCTGGCACCTGACACAACTGTGTCTCCTGCCTCGCCCGGTCTGGTCCTGCTGGCTGCAGGCCTGGGCACATCCTCAGGCTGGACTCCAGCCAACCTGCCAGCGTCGGGGGTTCTGGGGCCACACTGTGGACGTGTGGAATTCTTAGCCCTTCTCCGAGGTGTTCATATGAGAGGCCTTGGGATTTCTTTAATAAGAAAACATGCTGTAGCATTAAAAATTTAGTCCCACAAATGAGTAGCTCCTCTCGGAAGTGCTGTATTTATTTAATCATAGTCAATTTGGGCCAAACCCTCTGGGGGACCCAGGTACCTGCCTCCATGTCCCCAAGGGGTTCAGGCTCTAGGGCCACGCTCCCCACATAGAAACCCCACTCCCTGGCTCCCAGGGAGATAAAACACCTTAGCCTCATTACTCAGGTGGCTAATTGCAAACTGATTTAATTAAAGTATACAGATATTTCCCCAAGTTAGTTACATTTCCTATCACTCCATTAGGAGTAATTGGCTGGGAGAGGGAGGCTGGCCAGGTGGGCGGGGCAGGAGCCCGGGTGGCATCAGGCTGTTGCCTGGCTTCATGGGCAGCCTGCAGTGCTCCCGGCAGTCATTGCGGGTGTCCTCAGGGTCACTACACCGCTCACAGCCTGCGCGATGAACTGGGTCTGATGCCCTCCGACACTTACAGCATCTGAGTGTGGAGCCATCGGCATCTAATACTGCTGAGCCTCAGTTTCTTTCTCTGCAGATGGAATAGGGGGCGACCTCAGCTGGCAGGCAACCCTTATTTCTTCCTCCTTTCTCCCACCTAGAATTCAACTATGATGGAGCTCCAACGGCCATCTTGTGATCATGAGGTGACCTTGAAGGTGGAAGCCACTAGCAGAGACTCATGGCAGAAAAGAGAGAAGCTGTCAGAGCCTGACAGTTGTCGCCTCATCCCTGAGCCACCCGGGATTTCACAGCACCTGGAAGGAAGTTGGCCTCATCGTTTGGATTTTGTGTTGTGTTTTGTTTGGGTTAAGTCTTGGCTTTATGGTCTTGGTTGCCAGCTGCCAAATTCTATCCCCAACCAATAAGGCTTTCCTGCTCAAAACCACCTGCACGCACCCTTTCTGCACCAGGATGGACCTTCCACCTGCAGCAGTGCCACCCACTCCCACCCTGGCTCCAGCCCCCAGCTGCTCCCCCAGCCCAGGGTCCTCCCTGCAGTTCCAAGACCCCCAGTTCCTAGCCCCACCCCCAGACAGATGGCCCCTCATCTCCCTGCTTCCCGGGGGCCGGGGCAGACTGGGGGACTGGAGCCAAGGATGATGGGAGCCAGGGTCCCAGTTCACCTTTGCCCTCAAGACCAAGGACAAATCCTTCTACTTCTCTGAAGCTCGGTTTTCTTCTTTGAAAAAGACAGGCTGCTGGGTGGGTGAGTGTTTGCAAATCAGATTTGGAGAGAGCAGCTGGGTCTCCAAGCTGCTGCAGATGCAGAGGTCAGGAGAGAAGCAGGTTCCAGGGTCGCACATCCGGGGTCTTCCAGCTCCTGGCCAGGCGTCCGGAGTCCCGAACCTGGACCGCGCCTGCGCACAGGCGGGCGCTGAGAGTAGTACAAGAGGGCTCCCTTGCTGCGAAGCCCCCAGCCCTTTGGGGCCCCTCCGTACCCACTCACCTCGCTGCCGTGTTTACTTAAGGCTGAATTCTATATCTGGAAGTTCATTAATTTTTCGTGGGTGCCAAAACGTGGATGGTTTGTGCTTATCCCCAACTAAATAAGTCAGGTCATAAGAGGTAATGCCATGGGTAGTGGGATGTAAACAAACACATTCTACCTCAATAAACATGCTAATTTCCAGCTATAATATTCACAAGTAAAAGATCCATCACGCCGACCCTATTTGGCAGAGGCAGCGGGCCTCATCCGTCAACGAGAGAGACTCCCGCCAGTTCGCCGCAGGAGGGAAATAGTTCAACTTAACTTGCTTGATGACGCCCTCGGGGGGGAACATGAGCCTCACAAATGAGTCTGGAAATGTGATAAAGGGATAATCTTGCATAAATGAGCCCCGTATCGTCATTACCTGAGCCGGCCAAGGCCAGGCGCCCGGCTTGAGTGATGGGATCGCATTTCGTGTGAATGAAGGCTGAGGAGCCACGCACCAGGCCAGCGGGAGCCCTCTGTCCCACCGGGTCCCAGGCCACCGAGCAGAGCTTCCACCCTGGCTGCGGCTGGGGTGTCAGGTGGATGGCCTGGTCCGAGGTGCACAGGAGGGCCACCCTTGGCAGGGGGCCATCACATCCTCTACTTCCTAGGAAAAGTAAGCACCTATTGTTTTATTTACTTGATAATGCACGCTCAGCACCTATCAAATGCCAAGGCGCTGAAGCCTTGGAACCTTGGAAGCCAAAATCCCGTGGAGCTCTCTGGTTTAAGCGTTCACCGTGGGCTAGGGACCTCCTGGACCTGTGGGTTCCAGAGCAGGGGACACTTAGAGGAGGGTTTGGAAGTCAGGTTTGTGACACTCCTTTTAATTCACATGGTGAACCTTAATCCCCAAGGTCATGGTGAGAGGAGGAGCTTTGGGAGGTGCTTAGGTTGCCACCGTGAAGCTCTCAGAACTAGGATTTGTGCTCCTATAAGAGATCAGAGGGACTGGGGACTTAGCTCAGTGGCACTTCGCCTGCTTCGAACGTGGAAGGTCCTGAGTTAGATCCCCAGTATTCGGTGGGGGGTACATGGCGCTGGACACCTGTTATCTCAGCACTCAGGAGGCTGAGGCAGGAGGATCTCCTCCAGTGTGAGGCCAGCCAGGCCCATAGCAAGACCCTGCCTCAAACAAACAAACCAACAAACCAACCAACAAACAAAAAAGGCCAGGACAGACCCCTGCCCCTCTGACAAGTCCAGCCATCGAGAGAAGACAGCTGTCTTCGAGGAAGCAGCTGGCGCAGTCGCTGAGTCTGCCTGCACCTTGACCTTGGACTTCCAGCGCTGCTCTCCAGTCTCTCCTGTGACCACTTTTAGCAAAACAGAAAGATGGGGACCAGTTCACAGCAGACTGCACAGCTGGGGAGAGACCTACCGTAGGGCTTGCTGCTCCTGCCCGGCCTCCCCTCGCCCCACCTGGGCCCAGGCCCCTGCACTGCGACTGCCCCGTCTCTAACCCCTGAGAGCAGTGCCTCTGGGGCTGCAGATTCAGAACCTGCAGCAGGGTTAATTTTCTGAAAGGAAAAAAGGCAGAAACCACATTGGGGCCTGAGCTGGGGCTCACTGGGAACTGGAGCTGCAGGAGTCCGGGTCAAGAGCGAGCAGAGTGAGAGGAGAGGAATCACAGGGCAGGCGGGCAGGCCGCTTCCAGGCTGGCGCTGGGAGCTGCACATTCCTGGCTGCGTGCTTCGAATACTTTCCGAAGTTTAGCTGGTGGAGGCTGGAGGGAGGGATCTGTCATTACCGACTGGGGTCTGCAAAACAGCTTGGCTGGCAGGGAGCTGGGAGATTGCAGGACACAGAAAACCTGACTCAAGAGGCAGCCACCCAGGCCGGCTGGGCAAGGTCTCCAGGGTGACTGCAGTGCCCAGGAAAGAGCAGTCCCCAAGTGTCCTTCAGGGCTGTGGACATTTGTTGAGCTCCTACCAAAGCTATCCTTGCATCCTACTGAGTATGTGATATGAACATCCACGAAAGCTGGCAGAATAGCATTACATGCCCATCCTATAATCCCAGCACTCAGGAGGCTGAGGCAGGAGGATCACTGTGAGTTTCAGGCCAGCCTGGGCTACAGCCTCACCTCTCTGGGCCTCAGTGCCCTGATCCTCACTTCGAGGAGAGGATTAAAGATGACAGCCCAGGTCACACCTTCTTTTGGCAACACATGTGCTATGTCAGGAGGCCTTGAAGGACACAAGTAATCGTGTGTTTTCTCAAAGGAGGACTCCCAGGCCCCAGGCTGGCTGTGGAGTGGCGGCTGCCTTTCTCCTGGGGTTCAGGGCCCAGACTCATACCTAGCCAGCTGGGGTGCCAGAGAGTCACTGTTCCTCCTCCCTGGCCAGGAGGGGACAGGAGAGGGAAATTCCTCCCCTCAGGCCACTCTGGCCACACCCCAGTCCCAGCCTGGACTGCTAAAGGGAAAGAGAGGCCAAGCACCCTGGGTCCGGGGCTCAGCTAGTGGAGCCTCGATAATTACTATGGAAATTGCTTTAATAGCCTGGATCCCCCCAGACATATTTGGGGGCTTGAGGCCTGCACCTGGGGAGGGAGGTGGGTCTCCGGTAGGGACAGGAACATTTCCTCCACCCAGGCCATTTAAGGTTTCCCCTGGGCAGAGGTGCAGGCCCAGGTGGGAGACTGGAGGGAAGGCCGACTCCACACCAAACCGATGTGGCCCGTGGGGTCCTGACTATGACAGCAAGGGACAGGGATGGAGTCCACCCTTGAAGGCCGGGACTGCAAAGGCCCTCAGGTGATCTCTGGCTCACACCTCGACCCTGGTGTGCAGGGAGAAAGCGAAGCCCAGGGTGGGCGAGTGACTTGCCCAGGGTCACACAGCAGGTGCTGGCCAAGCAGGTGCTAGAATCCCTGTCTTTCATCCCTAGCCTGGGACTCATGAATGGGGTACCGGTGAAACGTGCTGAACTTGGGCGTCGTACCTGGGGTATCACATAGATTTTCCCCAGTTCATAGAAAAAAACCAAAGAGAAATATTTCCCTGATTTCAAGACCTGAGTGTAATTTTTAAAGGTACACTATGTACAGACATGCTATGAAGTCGTACTTTCTTCCATAAATGAGTTCTTTTTGTACCATGGAATTAAGCACATCAAGTGTCATAGTGTTCTACAAAGGACACCATGATTTTAAGACTCTCTGCCCTGGGAGAGACCCTGAGCCCTAAGCACTTTTTTTTTTTTTTTTTTGGTACCAGGGATTGAACTTGGGTCCTTGTGCTTGTGCAGCAGGCAGCGAAACCACTGAGCTAAATCCCTGGCTCTAAGCACTTTCTTAAAAAAATTTTTGAGATGGTGATCTCACTATATTCCCCAGGCTGGCCTTGTACTCTTGGGTTCCAAGGGATCCTCCTCCCTCAGCCTCCTAAGTGTAAGTGTTACAATTGTGCACTGCTACGCCCGGCTCTCTAAGCATTTATTCTATCAATTTCCAGACAGGAGAGAAGTAACCAACACAAAGAGACTTGTGTGAGGGCTTAAGAGTGAGTATGCTGAGAGGGAGGGAGGGTCCTCCTGCTCTTTCCGGGCCTGTGGGGAGGACCACAGTCACCCACTGTTCTGCACAGCCTCATATGATGCCCCAGCCTGACTTTAGCTTGGCTTCTAGGGGCAGATCCACCTCAGCTCATGATGGGAGAAGGCAATGAAATTCACTGCAGGGAGAAAACCCCCTTTAGTTGAAAATGCACTTCATAGCCATGCGAGATGGCACACGCCTGTAATTCCAGCACTCTGGAAGGCTGATGTAGGAGGGTTGAAAGCTGGAGCTTAGGCCAGGAAATTTAAGGACCTAGTGAGATTCTATGTCAAAAATTCACAGGGCCAGGATTTAGCTCAGTGGTTCCGGTGCCTACCTTGCAAGCGCAAGGTCCTGAGATCGATCCCTGGTACCAAAAAAAAATTTCACAGAAGGAGGGGCCAGGGCTTTACCTCAGTGGCACGGAGCCTGCCCCTGGAGCTCAAGGTCCTGAGTTCGATCCCTGGTACCGAAAAAAAAAAATTCACAAAAGGGCTGGGGATGTAGCTGGCTGAGAAGGCTATGGGTTTCATCCCCAGAGCTGGGAAAAAAGGGGTTGGGGAAGGAAATGCCCTGCTGAATCATCTCGCATACCTTAGCTCAGGACATATGCCTGGGGCTCCCTGAAGTGACAGCAAGTCCATCCCCTTGGAGGAAGGTCCTGGGTGTGAGGCCCTCTCATGGAAACAGCCACTCTGTTTGCAGAGTCACCCGCTCAGGGACTCCCCAGTTCAACCACAAAGCAAGGGCTCCCGGCCTGACCCCATCCAGGGGCCTGGGACACAGCCAGGTACCTCAGCAGGGGTCATGGCCAGGGGGCTGAGCTTTGGCCTCAGTACGGCATGCTGGGGACTGGGCTGGGAATAGGGTGCTCAGGGTTTCTGCCGGCTGTGAGGCCCCAGTGACTCACTGTGGCCTTGGTTTCCTCCTCCACAAATGCTTAAAGATGGAGCGGCTGATGTTCCCGACCAGTGGTGTCCATGGAGGGAGACCAGGCAAGCAGGCAGTGAGTCCCCTCACAGAGCCCTCTCCGGGTGCCCAGGGCTCCTGGGCTGTGCTTTCCCACACTGTCAGAAACTGAGGCACAGCCCTTTGTCACTTACTCAAAGTCACCACTGTCCCACAGCTGGAAGGGGCAGTGCCAGGCAGGGTTGGGAAGTCCAGCTCCAGAATCCATGCCTTGAAGCACCATAGTCTCCTAAAATCCACCAAAGAAAATAACTAGGAGGGCCGGGGATTTAGCTCAATGGTTCCGCTGCCTGCCTTGCAAGCCCAAGGACCCAAGTTTGATCCCCGGTACCAAAAATAATAATAATAACTGGGAATTATGTGAGGTTTTATGTCAAAAGGTGTTCTTCACAGTGTGTCCACGATTGGAATTAACCAGGTATTCAGTAACAGGGAATAGTTTAGCAAATAGCAAAATAGCCCCTGGATGGTCCATTGTATAGCCATGAAAATTATATATATATATATATATATATATATTGGTACCAGCGATCGAATTCAGGACCTTGCATTTGTGAGGCAAGCACTGGAACCACTGAGCTAAATCCCCGCCCCTCAAAAATTATATTTTTGAAGACATTTTCATAACTCAGAGAAATGTATTTGCAGTAATTGTGTCAACTTGATTGGTTCAGGAGCCACCTGGGGGATGAGTAAAGTACATTTCTGGTGTGCATGGGTGGGTCACAAAAGTGTGGCCTGGGGGACATATCTGGTCCCTGTCCCTTCCTCTCTGGCACTGTTCTCTCTTCTGCTTCCTGGGTGCCATGAGCTAAGCAGCTTTGCTCTGCCATGACCTTCTGCCGTGATGTTCTGCTTGGAAGCCAACTGACCATGGACTGAATCCCCTGAACCGTGAGCCAAATTAAACCTCTCTTCCTTTGTGTTGGGTGTTTGTCCCAGTGATAGGAAAGCTGACTCAAGCATGAATCATGGGAGATAAGTGAAGAAGAGGTATGATACACGCATGTGGGACCCTGGCCACTGGCACTCCATCTGTTTGCTGCTGGACAGCTTGGAGGGACACATGGCCTCTCTTCCTGGAGCCCACATTTACTTGTTGGTGCATCATTCTACACATGTCTTTGTACCTTTGAACACTGACATATTATGGAGTAGGACACAGACTGCACGTTGTCTTAAGGTCAGCACTTTCATGCTCATGGCGGCTCCGTGAGCTGGGCCCCAAGCTCAGTGCCAGCATCTTCTCCCTCCAGAGGCTGCTGGGTGGAAAGGTGGGAAATCTTCCTCAGGCACAGTTCAATCTCCCATTAACACAACTTCCTGTGGGGCCAGGGTCATCCTGGGGAATGAGCCTCTGGCCTCTCTTGGGCCCTGACATAGGGCAGGAGGAGCTCAGGAGCTGCTTACTTCACGACAGAGAAGGACAAACTTCCAGGTCAGTGCAGGAGCAAGAGACCTGGAGTCTGTTCCATCGCCCTGTCAGACAAGCCTCCATCCAGACACAGGCAGCTGGGACACTATTTAGCCCCCATCTGCCAGCAGGGACACAAACCCTTCGT